GCTCTTCCGATCTGTTTTTACTTATAATCTGCATAAAGCTCGAAATCGTATGCTTTACCGAGTCTATTAATTCATATTAAAAGTGAGGTATAAACCTATGCTTTTACGCTCGATAACTTTCTATCAAAGGAAACAAGTAATGTAAATCATTATCTGAATATAAAAATACTCACATAACTTTAGATTCAGTATCATTTATGTGAAAATGGAAAGTAACTATTTAACCAATTGGAACCAAGATGGCGGATGGGAATACCTACAACTTATAGTGCCTTAGAAATGTGAGCTGATAGAAAGAGACAGAAAATGAGAGAGCTAGAGTCCCTAGCTAAGAGTCTGGCGGTGGCCATCTCGTCATAAATCCTATTGGTACTGATACAATATGGCGGAACCAATAAAATGTCTCATCGAGTAATACTCACGAGAGTTGCGAGCGTTAAATGGAATGCAGCGCAAGATGAGACCTATCTTTTTGTCCAACTTAAAAGTACTTATAACAATTTCTATCCAAATTTATTATATACAGTAGTTTGTTTACCAGACAAAAAATCTAGAAGCCTAGAAGCTATCATACTATGGAATATGAGTAATTATTTTTTCTATTAAAAATATAATTTGTTATTAAATTGCGTAATTAAATTAAGTCATCTTGATTTTTCAATAAAAAAATTAACGCGGATTTTAAATTGATCAAACCTTTATAAAGCAATTTTTTTAAAATTACAATATATATTCATAAATGCTTCTTACTATGCAAGCAGAATATAATGATAAAAATAATTAAAGTTTAGAAGCGTTCTTCATCGTTATAAAGTGGTAAGCTGGCTTCCGTATTATCGGATGACGATTTATGATCGAAACTGAAAAGACATTTCGGCTGATACTGCTCTACAGCTTCCAGAAGGCTGTCCGGATAACCGGGCGAATAGTATCTGAAACAATTTGTAATGTTCAAGTTTACAAAAGGATAAAATTTATATATTTGTTTCAACTATATCTATTTTTAAAGAAAATATTTAAACCATATTTTAAGATCCTATGATTGCTCGGGTAGCAAATTAACTAATTTAATATAGAATTTTCTGATTGGTTGGTCCTTTAAACACTGATCACTGTAAGTGGCTGTGGCGACTCGCAATACGGACAAACAAGACGCTCCCAAATATTTAGATTTTGGCAAAATAGAAAGAAACAAAAAAGAAAGAATTAAAATACAGAAAATACAATCAAAAGAATTAATATAAAAACAAATTATAAAATCTTGTTTTGAGAGTTTATATTGATACATTAAATTTGAATTGTATTTGCAACAAGCATATTTCCTTATCTCTATAAAGTTCTGATTTACCAATAAAAAAGTATGACGACTTTATGCTGGATGCTCATTAGCTCATATGCGGTCTTATATTATGCTTATGCTTTGTTATGCATTTCATGTGCTCCCGACTTAGGTCCGTTCTACAATACGTCGTATGTCGGGTCGTAAACCGTAAGTCGTAAGAATTGACCAATCACAATTGAATGTAAGAAGAATATTTGATTGTAATTGGTCAATTCTTGCGACTTATGGCTTACGACCCGACATACGACGTATTGTAGAAGAGGCCTTAACAAAGCTTAAAGGCGGCTAGACCAATGAGAAATGTAAATCAATATGGCTATACTTTATGCTGGCTGCTCATTGGTCCAGCGGTCTTATGTTAAGCCAGTTCTACATTAGTTGTAAGCCGATCGCAAACTTGTTGAGACAGCCAATCCAAAGCATTGATTTCAAAATACAAGCTTCAGATTGGCTGTCGCAACAAGCTTGCGATCGGCTTGCAACTAATGTAGAACCGTCTTTATGCATTTTATGTGCTTCCGGCTTAGGCCGGGATAAAATGCATAACGAAGATAAGCATAAGATAAGAAAGCGGCTAGACCAATGAGCAGCCAGCATAAAGTCGCCATATTGATTTATATAAGGGGCTTTCTACAATAAGTCGTTAGTCACTACTCATATCATACTAATAGTAAGTCAGAATTATAAGCCACAAATTTTAGGAAATTTACATCCAAAATAAGTCATATTAAGGTGCCATTTCATGCGCAGTGTGCATTGGTTAAAAATGTTATTTAGATGACGCACTTCCGGCGCAAAATACATTTTGCCGCATCTTATTGAAGTTCAACCAAACAAACAGCAAAAGCGAACGAGCAGCAAAGCCATTACTTAACCCTTTGCAGCACGGTGGCATTGTGAAATGCTATCTTTTCCATAACCATTTTTTGAATAACTGGGGTAGTTTTTGTTGATCAGGGCGCTTAAGAGATAAAGTTCAGATTCAAATGCACAAGTTTGATTTATTCAGTTAACACTCGGACACAACTATGCTTTCACTGCGCTAGATGCTTATTCGTACGCGGACGGAGCCTAAAGCCAGTTCTACATTAGTTGCAAGCCGATCGCAAGCTTGTTGCGACAGCCAATCTGAAGCTTGCATTTTGAAATCAATGCTTCGGATTGACTGTTGCAACAAACTTGCGATTGGCTTGCAACTAATGTAGAACCGGCTTAAGAGAGCGAACGTTGAGACCAAGAAAACGAACTTGTTTGTCCTGCGCAGGCGCACTCTGCTTCTATTTACTTGTTACACGTGATTTTTCACAAGGGCACACTAGAGTCCTAGATTATCAGAGAAGCGCGACCGGTGTTACGAGTCCTGATTGGACACGCAAATGGCCAATCATA